TGGCGATGAATTTTGGTGGGCTGAGGGTCCACCAGAGGGCTTCCCTGTTGACTGCGTCGAAGGCCTTGGTTAGGTCAATAAAAGCCATGTACAGGTCACGACGTTGTTGGCTGCACTTTTCCTGTATCTAACGGACAGCAAAGATCATGTCAGTGGTGCCACGTGATGGTCTAAAGCCACATTGAGATTTGAAGAGGAAGTTTTCTGCCTCAGGAAGAAGTCTGTTTAGGAGGACTCGGGCGATAATCTTGTCAGCTACGGACAGCAGCGAGATCCCACGGTAGTTGCCACAATCTGACCGGTCTCCCTTGTTCATATAAATATTGAAGATGGAGGCGTCTTTAAGGGCTTGGGAGATTTCCTCCTTTACCCATACAGTATATTCTCCAGGAGAGAGTGGAGACGGTCGGTAAGTAAAGGTCCTCTTACTTTATATACCTCGGCTGGGATTCAAGCAGGCCCTGAGGCTTTGTTATTTTTCATTTGTTTGATGGCAGTAGCTACCTCATACAGGGATGGAGGTTATAGCTGAGGCGGGTCAACTCTGGACACTGAGCGACCTACTGGGTAGTAAGGACATCCTTATCGGTGTTTCAGTTGAACAGTGAGTGGTAGTGGTCTTTCCTGCACTTAAGGAGGCCTTCATCGTCTATAATTATGGAATTACCGTCGGATGAGCGAAGAGGGACTGCGCCACGTGTGATTGGCCCATAAAATGTTTTAGTGTAATTGAAAAATTCATGCATTTTGTGCTGATCTGTAATTTTTTTTGTTTCATATGCTTTCTTTTTAAACCAGTCGTTTTTTAGATTGCGAAGTTCCCACTGGACCACCACCTTCTTCTTCCAGAAGGTGTCAACTTTGGTCCGAGACTGAGGGTTGCTCTGCCAGTCAGTTAAAGCAGCACGTTTATCATCGATGAGTACATCGATTGCTGGATCATTTTCATCAAACCAGTCCTGGTGTCGTCTTTCGATCTGGCCGAGGGTCTCTGCAGGTTTTTGTCATGACAGTGTCGAGAATATCCCATTCGGCACTGAGATTTACGTTTTGTGCTGTTGGATTGTTTCTCAGCCCATGTTTGAGCTGCTCTCTGAAAGCATGTGCTACCGCTGGATCCTCCAGATGCTTAGCGTTAAAACCTCTTCTGAAAGCTTGCTGCCTTCACCGTTTTGGGTTGAAGTGAAGTGAGAGCTTGGCTCTGATGAGCCAATGGTCAGTGTCATAGCGGTCTGAGCCACGCTTAGCACGGATGATGAGGACATCTCTGCGATCTCTTTCTCTGACAATGATGTAGTCAATGAGATGTCAGTGTTTGGATCGTGGGTGTAGCCACGAACCCTTGAACTTGTCGGCCTGCCTGTACAAGGTATTGGTGATAGTGAGGTTGTGTGCAGCACACTTGCTGAGGAGGAGTAGGCCGTTAGGATTACACTTGCTTAGTCCATTTCTCTCTATGATTCCCTGCCAGATGTCAGCATCTCTGCCAACTCTGGCATTGACTTCATCCTCTGCATCCAGTGTTGGGGCGTATGCACCGATGATAAACGCATGACGTGAGTGATTCAGTGGGACTTGGGGCGTCTTGAGGCGCTTGTTGATCCCAATAGGCATTTCAGTTAGCCTGTGTAGGATGCGTTAACGGATGGCAAAGCCATATCCATAGATGAGGTTTCTCTCCACAGTAGGCTTACCCTTCCAGAAGAAGGTATAGCCAGACCCCCGCTCTGAGAGTTGACCCTCGCCTTGGAGCCGGAACTCACTATGTCACTATGTTGATGTTATACCTAGCCAGCTCTTTTGCCAAAAGGGCGGTTCTTCTTTCAGGACTCTCATTTGTGCCAGTATCCAGAAGGGTTCTGACATTCCATGCACCGACCATAAGAGGTTATATAGTTTGTTATCGCCGCCTCGTTACACCGCGACCTCTGAACCCTCTGAACCCATCTTGTCTTGCGACCTGTGACCTCGCCAGAAGGATGGATGCACAACAAGCTTTTGCGTGTTATGATCATAGATAGGGCTCGGGATGCCTGTGGTTGACAGTATCCGCCCAACTCCCTTTGAGTGTACTGTACACATTACCGATACTAGCTGTTAAGTGGAGCTATAAGCCCACACACGTGAGTGAAAGAATACTGTGATTGTTGGTATTGTGGTGAAATGTTGTGAACGACATATTATGTCCGTAGCATAAGGCAATTTGAATAGTGTATTTACCAACTGACGTATAATGTAGTAGGTAGTAGGTATTAGGCAGCTACCAAACAGGGAGGTACTACCGCCTGGGAAGATATTGGAAGCATAATGTGTTGTCTAATGGTAGACCCTGCTGCCATATGGCATCACGAAAATTGTGACCAAGTCTCAGGTTACAGATCTGACTTCCTGCCTCATTTACACACAATTGCAGGGTCTCAATTGTTTCTCTTACTATTGACAACACAACATACATATATTGTTTCTCACTTGATCTTTTTTTTTAACTTTTGTATTTCTTTATGGTTCTTTATTATTAATATTATTATTATCATTATTATTATTATTACATTTTCGCCCCCCAGACCCAGATGTGGGTCAGTGACCTGTGCCCGGGTGGGCTAATCCCCATAAAAAAATGTAATGGAATGTAATCGGTAGTTAAGGAGTGTCTCATTCTTTACAGGTTTTGACCATATCAATCAATAAACGTTGAGTGAGTCCACGTTGAGGGTTTCTCTCATCCTTAAGACGTGTCGTCATCTAACTGTCGCGTCAGTCGGCAGTTAAATAGTTTGTTTTTGTTTGGATCTGTGATTCTGATTGTGTTTTCGACCACATAAGAATGACCTTATTGGGTGCGGTTGCCCAGTCAGGTTGGTTTTTTAGGCAGGCTATGTTTAGGGCACCTTTTCTAGCCCCCTCCCCATGTGGGGTGAGCAGAGTGGTTCCTCGAAAGGGCTGCTCAGTCGCACAGACAGGACCGTATTGCATTGCTGCCTAGATCCCAGTGCATAAACGACCATCTTATCTGCGCCGCCCATGTGCAGAGTTGTGACTAGGGACTCCCGGCAGTCATCTCTGCCTGTCGCCACTCTTCCGTCGCCATGGGACTTTTGGGGGTATAGGAGTTTTGGTGATGATGAAAGATATGATGAGCTGGATGATGGCTGCGCGTGAGTTGATTTATGAGATGAGGCAGGAGCGCAGGCTGTAACCACACATCTTGGCTCCCCCCTTTCCTGATCCAGTGGTGCAAGTGTTGCAACGACTGGGGAGAGGGAGAGTTAATGAGTGAGTGAACAACAGTGTTCCTGGCGCAGCAAAAATATCTGCCAGATTTTGTTTGCTGTGTTGTTCACAGCTGAAACGGGGCCTCGTGACTGACTCCTGGGTCAGAACTTGGTCATTATATGAAGACGTCAGTGGTTCTGAGGGTCATGTCAGGTCATAAGCTGAGCTTATTCCACAAGTATGTCTTATAATCAAGCCGCTTGTGTTTCACCGTATTAAGGTTAAATATGACAGGTAGGGGAGGGAGACGGCAGATCAGACCCTTCAGACGAGCAGCGTGGGCTTATAGGGGGGTTTCCGGGCAACCAGGAAACCCCCCTGGATACGCCCGTCTGGTGCCTCTTAACCTTCACAACATTAATAATGACAACTCTAATAATATAAACAATCTTGACGACCTTGAATTCCTTAAACAATTTTATCAGTAAGTTCATGCAGTTGAGCGATACAAAAGCTTAAAGATATTATAAATCTATATTTTCTAGCAATAGGAAGTCCGTTTCTTTCCGTATAACTCATTACTTTATATTTTTGCTACTTTGTTAACCTATTTAGTTTTAATATTTTATTATTATTATTATTATTATTATTATTATTATTATTATTATTATTATTATTATTATTATTATTATTATTATTATTATCTGTGAAACTTCTTTACGGAGATTCAGTCAACCAGAAAAGCCAAAGCAGCCCAAAATGCATAGTGAAGGAACAACCAGGTAATGAATATACTTAATTACAGCTAATTTAGATTTACAGCTTTTAGTTTATTTAGCAATTTATTTCCATGTGTTTCACCAAATCTGTCCGCCAGTGTCAATGACTGACTCGTCACTAGGAGAAAAAGTTATTGACGTTGACAATGTATTGTACAAATACCTCGTGCTTGTTATCACGACCATTTAATTTGATTTTTTGATTAAAGAGCAATATAATTCTAATATAACTGTTAAAACTAGATCGATAAAAGAGAAACACTAAAAGTCTGTGTTTTAATATGACTATAGTGATAATTACACTCCAACAAATCAAGTTCCCATTTTGAATTACCCATTTAGTTTAAATCACGCATATCGCTGCTGTGTGATAGGAATTGCAGCATATTATGTTAAAATGTGACTTTTAGGAAATAACCTAAATAATTATTTATTGAAGGAAGTCGAACAGAGGAGTCAGTGTACCGCTCCTCCTCTTCCTAAAATATGACCATAATCAGCTTACAATCTGACTTAAACTATAGTTTGTGAGGTTATTATTATTATTATTATATGTCTTGCATGTATTAAACAACCTATGGCTTAAAATATGCCACTATACAATCAAATAATCAAAAATTAAAGTAATTTCTCTATTAATAGTAAAATATTCGTTGCTTACATTTCAGAGGTCACATAAAACATATTTTAGGATACTACTAGGATCAAAAAAATATATATAATTCTAGTATATAAGTAAGGAAGCAATACATTGTCTAAACATCATTGGGTAAGCCTTCAGTAACCAGGCGCACACCTCACCTCCTATGTCTACTGGGGAGAGGATGGGAAGATAGTCGATTCCAGGAGACTCGTATTCTCCCTTCAATAAAACATATAGAAATTTATTAACATTTACCCTTTATTAGAAGATATATATAATAAATAAGATTATAATATAAAACTATTATTTAGCGTTATAAAGGAATATAGATGTGGTTGAGGTTGTATGTACACTTCCTCATTGGAGACTAGCGAGAGGGCGGCTAACGGCGAATGGCTGTTCCAACCACACAGCATTTTGTTCCCCCGCCCCAACCACTTTATACAATTATTCCTCCAGGAGACCATTTGTGGCAGCAAGAAACCTATAAAGTGACACTAACTAAATAATACCGGCTTGAGAGGTATCAGTTAATCCTGTATATAATAGAGAGACTCAACAGTGTGGTAGAGAATTGAGCTTCGAGGAAGACTTGAACAGCCTCTACCACAGTCAGTATACTGGCACACCACACCACACCCCATTTGGCTTACATATATGACCTGTGTGAAGGAAATAACCCAAAAATTGAGAAAATTACACGATTACACGCCACTTTTCCCTTGGTGGAGAAAGGCGGGGAAAGAGAAGAGGAAGAAGGATAGTTTAGTAAAGGAGATTGTGGTGAAAAGTCGTCAAAATTAACGTTATAATATTAGTTGATCAGCAAACATGGCGTGCTGCTTAAGTGAAGAAGCCAAGGAACAGAAGAGGATAAACCAAGAGATAGAACGACAATTAAGGAAGGATAAGAGAGATGCAAGAAGAGAACTTAAACTACTCTTATTGGGTAAGATTGTAATAATGTTTTAATAGTCATAACTGTTGTAGAATATGAGTAAATTGACAAAATAATTTAGGGTCGTCTGCTAGTTGAACCTCATCCATCAACAATTTTTGTTTACATTACCATCAGGTATTAATTTTCTCATAAAATACTTGAACTATATTATTCCTTAGTCCCTGTAGATGATCATGAGCTATGTAACTTAACATAAACTTCCTTTATTAATGTGTTAATTGGGTTGTTTGTGTGTGGGTGTCTTGTTGTCTCTGGCTCAGCTGATTGGTGTTCCTGTTGCTCTGCATATTGACAGTTCAACAGGGCTACAACCTCTATCTTCCTGTCCAAGCCTCCTAGACCATCCTGGGCTCTATTGTATCTTGATAAAACAAACCAGGAACTGAATTTTTATGAATTATTAGGGAGGGAATTGTGTGAGAATTCATTGATTTGGGTCTAGGTTGAACTTGAGGTAAACTGGGATTGAGGGAATTTGGGTGGGGCTAGAACTCCAGTGTAAGTCATACAGAATAGGGAAATGTTACAATGGAATTAATAGCTATAATTTTTTATTATTTTTGAGTAAACCTGGAAGATACTTGTTATGTCTGATAGAAATAAATTGACAGACAGCCTGTCTACCAAATAAGGGGGTCTGATATTAATAAAGTTTAAGTACTTCAGTTAATTAAATTCTTATCTTTTTGGTCCCACCTAATGGAATGAACCTTAAAGAATAGTAATTTAGTAGTTAGTTTATATTTGATTGGCAGTGGATATTTTGCCGTGACCAGCTGAGTTCCCACTAATGCTATTTTACTCACTGGCTATTGTCCATTCTACTGAACAATGCGATAACTGTATTTGACTGTGACTGGCACCATTTGGCATTTATTTAGCCGTGCGTTGATCGTTGTGTAGCTGTAAACGTACCTAACCATATTTCTGTTGTGCATGGAAATTTATCGTTATAAAAGAGGTGACATTTACTAGAACCTAATAGAGCCTGACCTAACCAACCAAAGAAACCTACCTAACCTTTCCTAACTTCCTAGCCAGGGACAGACTCCCTGTCATATTAAACAAAGTACTTAGCCAGTCAGAGCATACTCACGGTAAAATAGGGTTAGTAAGAACTTAGTCAGCCACGGCAAAATATTCACTATGTATTTGATTAGGTTGGATGGTTGTATGAAGTTTGATGACATACTTAGGGAATTTTATTAATTCTAATTATATATGGTAGTAGTACGGAAATATATACTAAGGACTCGACAATGTCATTGTTGTTGAGCATTTTTTCTCTTAAATGTCAGCAAACTGAGAATTTTGATAGGAGACTGTAATTACTGTAAACATTAAAATATACAAAATAGGCATTGTCTTATGGGTATTAATTCAGTTTTGTACAACCACTAATTGCAGGGTATTTAACACATACAATAGATATATCTCATCATTCTCAGTAACCTTCATTCCATCCACTTCTGCTGCAAATAAATTACAATGTCACTGTTTAATTTTTAAAATCCTAGACAATATTTATCATGAAACTTCCAAGAAAATTTACCAGACATACTAAACACTGAAAAACGAATAAGGTAAGCTTTTTAGTTTTGGAATTTTTACAAGTTATGAAAGGTTAGGTATGGTTTTGAAAGGTTTGTTTGATGTTCTTTTAAGTATTTTACCATTTTACTCCATATATATGTGGAAGTTTGGAGTATGATGAATTGTACTACTGTACAGTAGGATGAAATATGGTTACTGAAGCAAAAGGATTTCATCAGGATCACTGTTGGAAGAGGGTGATGCAGCGGTGGTGGCTTGTGACGGGGAGGTGGGTGGTGGAGCGGTGGCAGCAGTTGACCGAGTAGTTTAGGGAGATGAATCATCTGGGCGTGCGGCTGGTTCTTTCTTGAAAAACTTCGTGGTTGGTAGTTGTTTCCCCTTGGCTTTGAGGTCTTTAAACATTTCACTCCACTAGCATCACTAGGCAGTCTTTTAAGGGCCATTTCACACAAACACTAAGTTTTGAGTGCAACACGAGATATTGCTCCGCAGGCAATGGTTGAGCTGTGGGCGCATGGAGGTGATTCGTTGTGCTGTGGCAGAGGCTTGTAACCTAGCCACTAACAAGTAATTTATGATCAAAAGTTGGCAAAATAGAACAAATACAATGTTATCCCTTTGATTTTATTACAGTACTCAGGTTGGGTGTAAACGGGACTGCTCAGTATGGGCCAATAGGCCCGCTGCAGTTTCCTCCATTCTTATGTTCTTAGGTTCATCTGAAAATTTGGTGCAATTCCATAAAGTCCTTCTGGTGCTAACCATCTCCTCCAGCTTTGTTTATGAAGATGGGGTGGGAAATAGCTATAGGACTGTACAATGTGTAAATTTTTCATCTGTGTAAATTTATATACTTCTTCCTATTGTTTGATTGTTTGTACCTTCAGTAGTTGTAAAAGTGCAAACAAATACAGTTTAAAATTTATTGAAGAGGCAGTGGTTACATGTCTTTATTTACTAATACTATTTATCTGGCATTTTTTTTTATTTGTTGAGCCCAATGATGATTACGTCAGCGACCAGATAAATAATTAATCCATGCACATGGGTGTTAAGTGTCCGGTCTCGGATCTTTACTTATGTACACTATTTGTCCAGCATTTGTTCTTGTTTGGTTGACGTTGATGACATTGGTATTAGATTGCTGAATTCAGTCATTTGCTAACCTACATATCCTACCATATTTTTAAGGTTACGGGTTTTAGATATGACCAAAATAGGCAATATAATGTGAAGTATATTCTTTATTGTCTCTCTTGTGTACTTTTTGAAAATAAGCTACCAATAATGTACAGTATGGTATATTAATCCAGATTATTATAACAAAAGAGTATTGGTGTCAACATAGTTGATATTAATGATTATTGGTTGGATTTGTGACATTTTCGTAGTGTTGGAGACCTTGTCTCTACTGACAATCACATTCAAGTTTATACACGATCATTTAGGTCTGGGTCTTTATATCTGTTGGTACTTTAAAAGTGACTAGCTAATCTGATTGTGTTTACCAGTGTTTAATTTGTGCCAGGATGGTGCTCCAGCAATTTTGTTTTGCATGAGTTACTTGTAAATGTAATTATGTTTAAATAAATACTGTACAATACTGCCATCAGTACTATGAACATAATTTCTTCACAATGTGGCCCTACAGGCCTTGGCATTGCATGTACTAAGTGCCTTGCCAGTTCCTTAGGCTTGGTTGGCTGCTTCATAACACATGTTTCTGGCTCACTAGAATTCCTTTACTTATTTTCACAAATTAAGCACTGGCGTTTATATACTGTACTGTATGCTGATTACATATCTTTTCAAAATTCATGATGTTGGATTTGATTTCACATATATAATGACTGGAGTTTGGCAAATTTTTAAACAATTATAATTATCATTCTACATTCATTTTACTGTACACTGTACCTTTAAATTTGTAAGCTAACTGTAATACATTTAGGTCAAAATTTACCTCTGTCGTCATTAATTGCTATACAGTATATTAATGTATTACTGATACTTGACTAGATAATACTGTACAGTACACAGGTATTTGTAATGATTCAAGGAATAAACTGGTATCAGTATTACATCTGGCAGCAAGAAAAAAATTTGCTATATAAAATTTCCCTTCACTTTTAGATCTGCCTGATAGTGGCAAGGTATCATAATACTTTTCTGATGCATATGCCATATTATATGTACAGTATAATAATATATTTCACTACGTATAGTGCATTTTTTCTCAGCTGAGAAAAGATGCCCCGCCCCCTCCTCAAAAGTTACAGCTGATTGGCTGCTGCAAACCTGTCCAATTTTGTCCTGAAGTAATGATGTATTTCTAAATGAGTTTATTCATAATCGTTGGGATGACTGTTTCTGACGAGAAAGATATTTAGCTAAATTATACAAAGATACATACATTCATTATTTCAAACATAAGCACGAAGGAAGTTTATCAGAAGTATTATACAGTACATGACTTAACTGTTAAACTCTGGAAGCAAATTCACTCTTTCGGAGGGTGCATTTAATATATACAGTACATGTACTGTACTTATTTTTACCCACAATAAGGCATACTAAGACAAATTACGTATCAGTAATACTACATTATGCAAATACAACATTTTTAAAGATCAGAATCACATTGAAATATTACACAACCGTTAGCAGAGCCGGGAAATACGACTGCGAACAACTTCATATTTTTCCCGCCTCTGCTAACGGTTGTATTTCACCATTGAACTTTAAACTTGATGTTTTAAGTAGGTAATTCCAATCGCACCACATGCAGCACTTAACATCGTTTATGGTAAGTTAATTTCAAGTGCTGTATATATTTATTATCATGTTACATCATTAATGAGTCATTGTATGTGTTTAAAACTTTTAATTTCTAACATTTACAGTATGTGTTTGTACAATACTGTACAGTATTACCTTTTTTGTCCAAAAAAAATTACGTAGGCATGCAATCTATGCATCTCACTCCAACTATATAATGGAAGTCAGTGGGAAAATTGGTCATGCATTACAGAATTTCGCGTTACGGGAACATTTTCAAGAAGGGAACCCTTCCGTAACCCAGGGGATGCCTATATTTAATTTTATGAAAACAATATACGTATACTGAAGGATTTATTTAGAATGAAAATAAGTGTTTCCCTAGTTCTAGCTGTTGGAGTTCATGAAGGTAAGAAACCCCCCCACTTATTTCATCTAATGCTAAGGGGGGGGGGGGGGGGTTAGGGTATGGTAGATTTGGTTATGATTGGTTGGGTTAATACCGTACTGTATTAGCATGTTTAATTCAAGTGAAATAAGTTGGGGTTACTAATCATCATGAGATCCCAGCCGTTTTCTCAGACTCGAACATTACGTTGGGAAAACTAATAAATACGTACTGGCAGTCCCCGGGCTACGAACATCCGCCGATACGA